AATATAAAATGTACATACAATAGAACACTGATGAGCACTGATAATAAATGTAGAGAGGGTGGACAGATCAGCATTCCACTGACTATCTAGTCTGAGTAGCCCAACTTCAAGTATGAATTCCTTTCAGAAACCAGGTGGCTAAGCACAGCTGGCTTTGGCTGAAGTCACAAATTGGTCCCTGCATCGGGAGGTGCAAATGTGTAAAGTGGAACCACAAGGACCAGCAGCAACGAGCTGAAGGGTGTCTGAAAATCTCACTCTGTGAGGCCGGACGTGAGCTATGTGAGCACTCCCATGGCTTATTCCCATTCAGTTTTGTGGGAAACTCTGGAAGTCAGGGGGGTTGGAGGAAATGCATAGTAAAGGCTGGGAAGCCAAGACGTTGAGAAGGAATCCTGATCTTTTGATGGCATGATAGCTTTGTTGTGAGTCACAAACAAGTTTACTTGCATCAGGCCAAATCTGTTTTGATCTATTCTGAATACTAATGAATCTAGCCTCTACAGTGGACCCTCTACTTACAGAATTAATCCGTATTGGAACAGTGGCTGCAGGTCGAAAAGTCTGTAGGTCGAGTCTCCATTGACCTACAATGCATTGAAAACCGATTAATCCCGTAACCGGCCGTTTTTGGTCCATTTTGTTGTTTTTTTTTCTGGTCTGTAGGTCAATTCTCCGGCTGCAAGTCAAACCTAAACTTTGGGGCCAGAGAAGTCTGTAACTTGAGGGTCCACTGTATTTCCATGGATCATGCATCTTTCTCTTGAGAAGGCCTGCTTCTCTATTGAGATCTTTCTTGAAGTGTTGAGTTACCCTGTCTGGATTTTTTCCCCTCATAAGACTAAGTTATAGTTAGCCAGTTTCTATTGGCTTTTAAAAACTAAATAAACATACAGCTTTTTAAAGTCAATGAATATATTATCAAATCCACTGCTTCCACAAGACTGAAAAAATTATTTGGTATGTAATGTGCATAGAGATTCTAGCTTATTACCTGTATAATTTTGGTATGAATACCTTGACCTAGCTCAACACCACCATGAGTCACCAACACATGCCCATCTAGGTAGATATGAACAAGGGCTGCAGCCTGTAAACATTAGATTTAGAAACTAGTTAGGGTTTGATATCTCTCAGGAAATACAAAACACAATGAAATGAAGAGTTTATAGTTAACAGTATGGTGAACTAAAAGAAATAAATTGCCAGATTTAGTGTCTTTTATGCCAGGGATGTTGGCAAGCCTTTGCATCCGAGTCCCAAGTCTGAGTCTCAGTCTTTGTCCCAAGTCTGATTCTCTATTAGAAACAGGTTCTGTTCCCCAGAAAAAAAGGGAGGAGTGGGCTAGGAGTTGTGAGTCGAGTCTAAAGAAAGGGGGGGAGTGGGCATGCCGAACTGGTTACTATATTATAAGGCCTGTGCAATGACCTGGATTAAGGAATGGATAACTCTAGAAAATCAAAGACTTCTGAAATTAGAAGGACACGACTTAAAGATGGGATGGCATGCATATGTATGGTATGGGAGATACAAGGAACACTCTCAGTTTGGAGAGCATATTATTAGGAAGGCCCTAGGGATGGTATGCCAGAAATTTCAATCACAAATTTATGAGAAAATCCCAATGTGGGTGGCACTGATAGAAGCATTCTCATTAAAAACCCTGAACCAGAAAGGAATGTTAACCACATATGAAAATCTGTTAACAAAAGAGCTGAAGATAAGGGATAAACAAGAGCTCGAAAAAATGGGTATAGCAGTTGATTGGTGGTCAATGGTAAAATTAGAATCAAAATACAAAAAAGACAGGACTGTGGGTTTTTTCAAGGGCAAAGTCCAGGTGGACAGACTGTGGTTATATACGGATGAAGCAATAATTAAGAAAATGTATACATATTTACTAGAATATGAGCTAGAGGATGAGAGGGTGAAAGAGACAATGATAAAATGGGCAAAAATTTTTGGGTATAATGTGGACCTTGATAATTGGACTAAGATGTGGAAAGAAAGGTATAAGATCTTGAAACCAGCAAATCTAAGAGAAAACATACTCAAAATGTTTTACAGATGGCACTATACACCTGCAAGATTAGCAAAAATGTCAGAGGGCAACAGCAATATATGTTGGAAGTGTAGAAAAAACGCAGGAACTTACTATCATATGTAGTGGACATGTGAAAAGGTCAAAACTTATTGGACACAGGTATGGGATCTAGCAAAAGAAATTACTCAGCAGAAGTTAGAGATAAAACCTGAAATGGCATTATTGAATGTCATTTCA